CGTGATCGTGTGTTCTGTACGTGTACCTGACATCGTCCTCAAGTGAGGTGATACGCTCCTTCATCGCGCCGATCTGTGCATCCCTTTGTCTCACCGTCTCGATCAGGTAGCTATAGGGCTGCTGCGTCTGCTGTAAGAGTTGGTTGGCTGCCAGCAACTGAGGAGCAACACACATATGTTCATACTTGATTAATTAAAGAAAGAATATCTCACCAACACAATGTCAGGGTCATCTTGGGTTCCTGAACAATCCCTGCGCAATAACCCTGAGAAAGTTCACTGAGACTCGGGCTGACATGGTTTCACTGGTATTATACCCCTCCACAAACTGTGGAGAGCGTGACGCAACAGCAAGAGCTAACTGTCTGCCACCATGATGTTTGTTATGCTGAACATGACTTTTACTGGTAAATGCTAAAGAGTATTTTTACTTTAAACTGACTTTGCATGTGGTTAATATTATGAAATAGTGCAGTTTGTCAATATTTGTGAATGACTCATGAAAGAACGGCCATACCCAAGATTTAATCTTATCTCTGATGCCATCAGGGGTGGCTTGAGTGCCCATAAATGTGACTTTTTATGAAGTTGTATCCTTTTTATTAATTAAGATAAAGACAAAAAGTGGAAATGCAATGAAAATTCACAATCTTAACAACCTCTTGCAATCACTGCCAGGAAAGCACCTTTATAATATTTTGATGATCCCTCATATAAGAGTCGGCATTTACTATAACCTACACACTATTTCTCAGTCAGTATCATGCTTAATCTGCAAAACAATAGATAAAGTTAGGGTGTTACTCTTTAAACCACTTTTACAGCCGGCAGTGAGTAGAACTGGGTGGGAGGGTAAGGACAATAGTTAGTTAGTCAGGGCATCTGTGTGGGTGGTTAAGTGGTTAACACCCTTGCTCTTTCTAGTGACTAAAATGTTTAATCTTTCACCCCTTCCTTTCATTAAAAAAAAAAAAAAGGCAGTTGTATGTTGATTTCATTCTCCTGGCACATTGATCAACAGAAAAATTATTTGCAACTATTTTGATTTTTCAAGCTAAAACACCATTAACATTTAAATAACAGTTAAATAACAGTTAAATAACAGTTAATGGGTCCAGGTTCTCAAATGTGAGAATGAATTGCTTTTCCTTGATTTACAACCGACTGTTGGTCAAACAAAACAAGACATTTGATGATGGTCAAAAATTAATGAAAATAATTTTTAGTTGCAGCCAGAAATTTTACGTCAAACGCAGACAATGGCTGTGTGCTGAGACAAGGTGGTTGTAGTAATAAATCTCTATTTTCTAGAAATTCCTGTTTCTCACCATTTTGAGACCAATATACTGGAATGGAATACACTGAGTGCAGTTGTCCCAACTAAAACATCACAAATAGCTAACACAACAAACAACAATCAACGTCATTAAGATGTGTACCTCTCGATGGTTGAGGAGTCTCTCCAGATCGGCGGCCATGTTGTTTTTCACCTGCTGTAGAGCAGTCCGTTCTTTCCTAAGAGAACTGGGGTTACACCCAAAAACAGGCATCAAATGGAGATCAGATCTTAAGCTATGAATTCATTATTCAATATTCTAGTTATTTATACGATCATATGAAACAAGTCAGTCCTGTGAATCACTGATCAATGGTTTATGTGATTCTTTAAGGTGGGAGAAATAGAAATAGTATCATTCACTCTATATAGTAGATGTCCATTGTTAGTTAGAATGTGTTTTATTTTGGATGGGAAGGTGATATTATTTGAATGTTGCTTCATCTGTGTGACTGTCTAAGTATGTTTATGGGGGGGACAAAAACAAACAAAATGCTGGATTACAAATCAAATCAATGAGTCTTCATGGCAGGTTTACTAGCACTGAGAGTATAAATCACTGGTAATAAACCACCAACAGCCAAACAAACTAACTGAACTTAAACTAACTTAACTTGAATTTCTAGAATGTACTAATGTAATAATCAATTGCCTAAGTTTGCTAGGCTTATATCTTGTGAGAAAAACTCAAGCTCTCTACAATACTGTCCAAGTGTTCTTTCCTCAGGCTGGAACATACAAGCAGGAGCTTGTAAAGGGGTTACTTTAAAGCAAATCATCATGCAAATTTTGAAACAACAGCTTGGTAGCTTCACTACACTGAGAACTTAAATGTATGAGTCTTATAGCCTGAGACACTGTTGTTAGCCAATGTGTGAATACAATAATACCTTAGACAGAGAGACTGGTAGTACATAAACTGAGAATCTCCTGTGAGCTTTCTCTCTGCTGTTAAACAGATAGCATTGCATGGCCACAGGAAATCTTAAATATCTGTCAGATGGGGAGGTTTGAGAAGCTTGAGTGGATTTCTTTTGGTTTCCCGCTTGCCCCAGGTGAGTGCTAAGCGACGGTGAGCAGCAAGAGAAAACCTGCACTCTGTCAGTTTGCATATTTCTTAAAATACGGAGGAAGACGAGGGGGGTTTAGGTCAGCGCCAGGGAGCTGTAAGTGTGAAGCACTCACTTACTGGGCACGGACAGACTCACGCACACATGGAAGTTTGCACAAAGAAAAAATTAGCTAGGTGTGAGAAGGACAAAAGAAGACAAAGGGAGACACCCAAGGGCAGGGAGTTATGGCCATCTGCCATGATGAGTGAATTAAAAGACCTAAAATTAAACTCATTAAACTAACAGACAGAGTTTGGCAAGCAATACAGAAGACCTAATGGCCTTCAATTTAAAAAAAAAAAAAAACGCACCTGGTGGCATCTCAAACAAGCCAGGGCTCGGAACAGCTGTCTATGACAGGGGCACATTACTTCATACAGCAAACGGGCTGGCTTGGTGGGGGGGGGGGGGACGAACACTCTGCGCGTGCGCACACACACACACACACACCACACACACACAAATCTTGAAGAAAGGTGCAATAACTTTGCTGGTGTGAATACCCAACAGCTTAAGTGTAAAAGTAAGCCTGTAGCAATTAGTTGCGGAGAAGGCGGTGATTAGATGAATGAAAGTGTCAGGAAAAAAAGGGGAGAAAATAACTAAGCGTGACTGACAAAAGCAGAGAGGATATGGAAGATGGAGCTACATCCCTCTTTACGTGTCGTGTTCTCATCTTGTGGTCTGTAATAACTGCAATAACCACAATCAGCCTGCAGCATGAACGACGCCAGGTCTAATTGTCGTGTCATGTTCCCAATACTGAAATGCAAGGCACGCACACCCACAAGGATGTTCTGAACAAGTAGTTCAGACTCATGAGTGGAACAGATTCTGGATCGCAAAGTGCCAAGAAAAAGTTTTGTTTGTGTGTATCCAGATGAGTGAGGAATGCGTAGATATCAACAAAACCTTTGTTTTGTTAGCTGGGGTAAGGTGGGGCCCAACACCTTAGTGCTTGTTTGTTGACTCTGCTCACGCAAAACTAACAGTTCAATTCAGAATGTGAAAAAAGGAGACAGATTTAAAGAGAGATGAAAAGAAAAGGGAAAGGGACGCTGACATGCACAATCTAAGATAACTGCGTATCTGACAGACAGATCTTGAATATATTTATAGTGGCAAATAACCCCAACAAGTCTTAAAAAAGCATATTAAAGCAATTAAATGTTGACGTCTGAACAGGCACTGGGATCTTAAGAGAGATGGCACCAAACGTCTAATGCTGACCACATAGTCTGAGAGTCACCCCCTGGCAGAAGTGTGTCACTTCCACCTGTTTTGATGGAATAGTATATTGGGCAGAGGATGGGAATGGGGTAGGATACATTTACACACACATGCCAGGAACACAACACTCTGCCTAGCAACATGGTGCCAGTGTAGATACCGAAATAAGAGTCGTGCGGGCAGCGTCATTTTCTTTTTGACGGGTACTGTTTTAAAAAGCTGCATTAATTAGAGGAATGTCTTACCCGTGTGAGTCCTGAGGTGGGCTTTCAGATGGGACGACTTGGTGTAGACCTTCTTGCAGCCTGACGACAGACAGGGAGATAAACACAAACAGAAGGCTTAATCCAAATAATTCATGTGTCAGATATGCATTTAACCAGTGAACTGAGCTGTGGACTGTGGAATGCTAGAAATGTGAACTAATGAAGAACAGAAGCTGTTCGGAATGAGATACAGTAAATGTTTGTTTTTTGTTACTCTGATTTTCAAAAAAGTACATGTGACTGTGTTAAAAAAGTGACCTATACATTCTGATTTGGTATTAAAACTGTTTAAATTTGGTGTATTTACAAGGAAATCCATTCAACTGCATGTTACTGATCACACAGTATACTGATTTGTTGAATATACACCTGTTTGTTTGACATCAGAGTCAAGATATTTTAAGTTCAGGATTACAAAACCTGTGTTATTATGTTACACAACGTTTGTAGATTACAATGTCAAAAGGTCATGAAGATTTTGAATGATTTAGGAAGATATTCTTCAAGTGTATTATGACTTTAAATAAGGAAACGCTAAAATTTTACGTGCTGCAAAAAAAAAGCGAGCAGCTGCAGCAGTGTGACTAATATACACATGGGTAAAGTGTGGATCTGTCCTTGTGTGGATATCTGACTTTTCAGAAGTTAGACATGTGCTAACATGCGGCAGGAGGTTTTGCTTAAGCCTATTTTACACGCTGCCACAGGCTAGTTGACATTACATGTCCTACAAGTAGCTGCACATCGTGTGTGACTGTATGCAAATGTATGTGGGGATTAAAGATCAAATGACTTAAGGAAAACATCTATCTAATTAACACCCCCCCCCCC